CGCGTTCCTTTCCCATGACCCAAATAATGAATTACAAACCAAATCTAACCTACAGTGCAGTGCGGCACCTCTTTTACTTCTGCTCTTGAACAAGAAATATGGCAAGCAGAAATGCCTTTTAGTTTTTTTTATATATTTTTAAGTTTTGATTATTAGCTGGTTCTTGGCAGGTTTGTCTTACCATATGAGCTGCAGGGAAGGTGGTACTGGTGCAGTCTGGAGCACGGCACCAGTTTAGATCAGTCTAGGCCAGTTCAAGGTTTATCCTGTGAAACACAATCACGGTGTGTGAACAGCCACATGGCTGGTAATCGTACGCAAGGTTCAAGTGAGTACAAGCCGAACTCATGGGGTATTAAGATATTAATGAACTGCCTAAAACAGATCAGGATGAAAAAAAAAAAGATTCATCTTTTCTCTAAGTCCAAACCCATCATATCTCTCTTCCATATTTTCTGGGGAAAAAAAAGGTGAAAAAAAAAAAAAAGCAGGGAAGGAGCATTTCTCGCTGCTTTGTGTGAGCTGGCCTCAACTCCCTCCCTCCCAGCTTCCCATCTGCAACACAGACTGTTCAGCACTGAAACAGCAAAAAGCCCGAATGTCTGTGTGAGTCACCTGCAGCCACACTGCGGAGGCACTAATGAAAGGGCAGGAGCTTGAGAACACCCCTGCTGCCAAGGGAGGTGTTCACAGGGAGCCACTCAGGTCTGGAGCTTCCCAAGGGATCCCCTGCCCCATGTGCACCCCGGCAATCAGCGCAGTGCAAAGGAAAGTGCTGGGATCAGGGAAGGGCTGGCTCGTGTGTCTGGGTCTCTCACTCTCCGGTCCTGCAAGCCCCTTTCTGCACAGCTACACCCAGCTGGAGCCGAGCAGGCACCAAATGTGTACGATATTGTGTGCACAGCGTCCTGGATGAGGACGGGTAGGACAGCACGAAGGGAGAGCCACCATCCTTGTCCTGGCACAGAACGGTGTGTGTGACCACTGGCAAGTGTGATCCCTCCACACACCCCTGTTTTGGGGCTTGTTAAGGTTTGCAGTGCTGCAGGCTAAATTTGAGGTCATGGGACTTTTCCTTGAGCCATCCGATTAATTTATGAGTTCGGCACTTTGTGGCTGAGAGCTCTGATCAGCAAGGGAGCAAAAACCAGCAAGCATAAGAGCTGTCAGCGCGTTCCTTGGGAAGGGCTGAATCCGGGAAGCTCATGCAGAAAACACAAGCTCCAGCGGCTCAGACGGAGCATCCCGTGGGGCAGGAGGAAGGAAGAACATGTCCTCTGCATGTGATGTGCCTGGGAGAGGAGCTGTGATGGGTGGGAGGGACGAACCGCTGACCACAGGCGTATCTGAGGTTGTGCTGAAGGAAGGGGCCTTCTCAGGTCTGACTGAAATGCTGACTGAAATAAATGACCGTCACCGCCACAGGCTGAGCCTGTTTTTCCCTGGGCAATGTGGTGGCACGCGGTTATTGGACCTGATGGCTCACGCGAAGCTCGAATGTGGCTGTTTAAAGCTTTGCTTCCAATCCCTTGCCCAGGTTTCGGGGCAGAGGGAAGTGGATTCTCCACACCTCTAGGAAGCGCCGCTGCCTTGCTATGGAAAATACCGCTGGCTCTTCAGGTTGGCTATGCTTTTCTTGCTGTTCAGTGCCGATTGCAGCAAATCCCAGATCTTGAATCAGGGAAAGTTTTAATCCTGCACCAGCCCTGTTTATGTAACAGCTGCCATCCCGCAGGGGTGAATCTAGGACTTGCAGCACTAAAAGCATGGGCTGCTGCCACTGGAGCCGAAGCTGCAGCTCTGCTTGTCGGTGGCACCAGGACATTTATATCCTCTGGAACAAACGCTGAAGGAGGTGCATGGCAGCTCACGGGTGGCTGTGCTGACTTAAGCTTCTCCTCCAGCAGTCCTGTGATCGAATACGGGTGTGAAGATGCTGCCGATGGCTGCGATCAGCAGCCCATCCCTGGAGCTGCCCGTGCACATCACCTCGCACCAGCTTGTGCTCATGGCCTCCCTCGTGCTCTGGCTCTACTCCAGCACCAGTGAAACTGAGGACAGCACAAGCATAGGCAGCTCAGGCAGCTGAGACAACGCTCATCACTTATCTTCTGAACACATTTTTCAGGCATTTTGGCACAGTGGGAGTTCAGATCCATCTCTCCCTTCAGGCACGTGAAGAAGAGCTTGGGGGCATCAGCATGTGACTGGTTCACAGAGAACCACTTCTCCCGAGCAGCCCTGGTTGCTTCCACGGGCCAGGAGTCAGAGACACATGTGTGGTGCTCTGCTCATGATAAGTTCAGGTCAATGTCCTCAAATGCAATAGAAGTGATTCATTTGAAAGCTTTAACCCTATTTAAATATCCACAGCAGTCACACTTTGTGCTGTTTGATTTTGCTGTTTAACTTTTGATTTGTCCTGTTTGATTTTGCTGTTTAACTCTGTTGCTCGGCTATTGCATGTTTATTTACCCCTGCACTCCAGTGTGTTGCACACAGAGATCTGTTTAACGAGTGCCCTTTATCCCAAACTGCCTCTTGGTTTCTGTCTCAAAATCCACCCTCTGCTGGAACGCAGAATGCGGAAAGGATAAAATACACCTTGCAGCTTTTCTCCCAAGTAAAATTTCAGCTGAAGCAGTCTGAAATTGCTGAGTTTGTAGTTTGGAGGAATAGAAAAACACAAAAAGCCACGTGCACCCTTGGCTGCCCAGCACTGGGTCAGGCTCTGCTTCTCCGCTGTTTTGCTGTTCTGCTGTCCCCAAATATTACAGTGTCACCAGCATCACCAGCTCTTGGCTTTGCCAGAAGTGGGGCAAGAGGATTTGTAACCGCGTGGGTCAGAGCTCTGACGGGATCCTCAGGTGCCATAAGGGTGTCCTTGAATTATCGCCCGCGCGGTGATGTGACACTTCACTAGCACTGCTGCTCTCGGCACTCATCCTGGCCCACCTTTATCCCCATCTCCCATATTTACCTGTGTCCCTTCCCGCTTTCACATCGGATCAGCATCCACAGCGGGTGCTGACAGGGAGCGGCGGCCGCACAAACCGGCACTTGTTACATAAACTGCTAAGACGAGGGAGCAGCCAAGCCAGGCTGGTGGAAGCGGGATGTCAAATGAGGACAAGGAACGGAAACGCAGCAGGCAAGGAGCCGCAGCGCAGGGGCTGATAGGGATATTTATGGCCCTGTGCGATGGTAAGGGCGGCTGCGACGCATCTCCTCCTTCGGAGCTTCCCCAGGGCCTGAGCCGTCTTCCGCTCAGCTTGGGGTGGCACCTCAGCCCCAAGGCTGCTCTTGTCTCATTGCCACGGGGGGGGACATGTGGCCACATGTGGGCTGGTGCCACCACACAGCCGCAGCGATGCAGCCCCCCGGC